TCTGTTGGGTTCAAATGTAGTTCCTCTATGAACATGTACTTTTTTTCATCAGGCTTAGAGCTTAAAGAAATCCAAAAATTAGTGTCAGTCAGGAGATGCTTATTTATGCATCGCTGCTTTAATTTTTACTTTAGATTTAAAATGGAAATTATAAATGAATAAAAACATGTTTTTGCTGTATGTGTTTTCATTTTCTCCTTGTTTGATTAATTTAAAAAAGAAAGAGTCACAAGTATCTTATTATATCAGGGTGATGGAAGCCGATATACTGCTTAACATTATTGTTTACCTCTGGGTAAATGTGTGAAAGTGTATTATATTGGAATGTCGGCCTTATGTGATTCATATAACACATCAATGTCTCTTGGTCAGTGACATGAGCCAAAGATGTCCCTAAATGAGTAACACTAATCAAGGTCAGATATACATTTTGCTAAATGCTTTTATATGACAAAAATGACAAAGACTAAATATCTCTGGTTAGCTTATAATGTGTGGTCTGCTAGGGATTTTCTCAAATCCAGCTAGTCTTGTTTTGATTTTTTAAAAGCAAATAATTCTGTTACATTTATTATATTAAAAGTCTATTACTGAGTGTCCGCTGAGATGGAGCCAGCTGCTTCATGCATGCTTTCTACTCTATTCCTGGTATTCCTGTTTTTCTACCTTGGGCTTCCCCTGGAAATCTGTCAGAAATGGTGAGCTATGACCACGGCTGCCTGTAATAGAGTTGTTGTCATCTTTCCTCCAGTGTCTGTTTTGCATCAATTTTACACGTGTGTGCGTGTGTGTAGATTGCTTTGGGCCATGCAAGGTCTTTGTTTTATCCAGAGATTTAGAAAGAAGAGGCTAGACCGAGCAGGAGGCTGAATTATGACTGGAAGGAAAAAAAGGAACCATTCGGACTATGAGCTGGCACAGCTCTGTTTGTTGTTACTAATACAAAAGATGTCATCTTTGGACTCCCTGTGTTAGAACATAAGCTACAAACGGAGTCAGATAACACACACAGAGATCCTGGCTGAGATCCATAACACATACAAATGCAAACAGTTGCTCGGAGAACGTAAAGCTTGAAGAGATCCGTCACCAGTCTCCCCTGTGGCTGTTTCTGTGGAGCAGTTCGGATAAACACTCAGAGTTGGCCGGGTGTTTGCAGTGTTCACTGTGAGCTTGGGGAATTGTGAAAGATTAATTTGACTACTTATTTGGATTTAGCTCTGTTCATGCTACCTTTCAAAAAGTCCAGTACAAAGTGTCTCAACTGAGTTCACATCCAGGCTGACTTTAGAGCTCCTCTAAATGCACTATATTTTCTTCTTCTTTTTTTCATTCAGAGAACATAATTTTATTTTTAAGTAAACTTCTGCTCAGTACCATGTATGTTTTTCTGCTTCAGTCATTGGCCTCTTGGATTTATAACAGGAACTACGTGGACCTGAAGTGAATGGAATGAGGGCTGCTTCGGAGAGGAAGCTGTTGGACTTATGGATTATTAATAGGGATAGTGCACAGCTGAATGAACACTGCTTAACGAAGTAGTCATATGAAATGTAAAGACTGAAAAATACTTTTACAAAAAACACAATATTTATACAGGTTTTCTAAGTAAAAGGTATTTTATTATCTCTACATCTGATGAGCCTGTGAAGCTACTGTTGTTGAATAACGTTTTTTAAGGTGTGTGCTTTAAGCTTCACACTGTGTCTGGAGACCCTTACATTGTAATAAGAAATAACTACTTCAGTCACTGCTCAATAGTGTCATTGAGCCCACTAATTGAAATACATGTTTTGCTAAGCTTCTTTCCCACTGAAACTACTGGGTAAACATATGTTTTTCAAGCATTGGTCAACCCACAAACATTCTACATTTGGCTCCCTTCCCGTTGGCAAAAGAAGCTGGGTTTAACCCCTTGCTGGCAAGCTGTGTGACCTCTGTTCCCCTGCAGCATGTCTGGTCCCTCTGAATCCCTCTCCCTGCGGCATGTTTTACGAATGTAAACATTTGTTTTGATTGGTTAGACTGGACATGGCTGGCGCACTGTGTTGACATCCATACGTTGCGTTCAATGGTGTCACGTAATTTAGCGGGCAGAGCCAGCGCTGGTGTTCCCACAGTATCCCGATCAGAGCTGAGGCAATTTTAATGAGTCTTTTGACCCGGGTAGGCGTGTGTCAGTGACCCACTCCCACTAAAATCAGATTGTTCCTGGGTTTAAACAGGCTTTTCAACCAATGGAAAAGGGGTAATAGACTAAATTTATAGCACCTTGTTTATGAAAGCAGTGCAGGTACTTGGGATAAAAAGTAAATGTTAAGTAATTTACTAAAAAGATTTTCATTAGAAGGAAATATTGTCTTAATACCACCTTTGTTAAACATTGCTGAGGTTGACGTCTTATTTCTACCTTCCTGTTGCAGCTTTAGTAGAGCTTCTCAATTCATCAAAGATGAATCGCAGCTTTAGTGTGGAAAATAATCATCAGGGAATGCTTCTATGGAAAATACATTGTGATATAAAATTTCACGTGCCATTAATGCCATATACATAGTATATATTCAACCATTCAAAGTGCCTCCGACGATTTTAAATGGCAACACCACAGCTGAGATTCCTGAGCTCATGGAGAATGAGGATATTGTGTTTTTGTAGACAAAAATAAACTGATCAGATTAATCAGAATATCTTTCTTTAGTTTGCAATTATATATTTCCATGAAACAGTGCAGCCTTAGTTTCCTATGGAATCTAGACTGCATACCCTAAGTTTAAAATGTAAGATATTTCAAGTGAATTGTTTTAAACTAAACGGGGATTCTTTTAAATACTGTGGCCTTTTATAAGACGTAAGAACATGTATGCAAGTCTGGATTGAAATCTTTACTCCTAAATATATTGACTTTTTCAGACATTGCTATTAAATGTTGCTTTTTTCTGTTGAAACTAATCTTAAAACAATACGTTATGATAATTACACTTTATTAATTGTGATTAATAAATAAGTGAAATAATTGTCAACAAATTTAAGAATCAAATAATGTTTAACTTAAGCAATTAGAAAAAAAAAACTGACTAAGAGCAGTAATTAAGCCAAAACTGTAGAAAAAAATATACATTTTCCATTTGAGGGGGGAAAAAAACTTGTCCTTAAATATCTTCTATCAAGGAAAGTGAAATTTCTGGGCTTAGAAAATGAGTCTTATTTAATAATATTTTTCTGAAATGTTTGGATAATGTTGGACATTTAAGTTCAAACATTTGTTTACTGAGGTTTGCTAGTTAACTAAGAATATCTTTGTCTAGATTGATTGAAAAATAACTAGCTAGTTTTCTCAGTTTACTAAAATAGATGGCTGCATGTTTTTTTCTCATCTCCTTTGAGCGGGGTGCATTTCAACACAACTAGACTTAACCACTATCTGATTAGAAGACTTAGAATATTCACACAGCATTACAAAGATTGGTTTCATCTGTCACCTTCGTTCTGTCTGATCTGGGCAGATTCTTTGTCTTAAATGTATTAATGCCCTTCAAAATGGATATGGAATAATTTTTTTAAAATTCTTGTTTTGCAGAAAGACGTGAGAAATATAGATGATTAGCAACTTTATCAAACACAAGTTTAAAAAAAATAGTTTCTCATTTAAACTAAACTTAAAAGAGTTAAGCATCAAACTGTGATCCAGTGCAATACTGTCTCAGTCTTGTCTGCTTTTCTTGCCTTGTGCCTTTGGTGACATTCAGCACTCTTACAGTGTGAGACAAGTTAAAAGAGAAATGAGGACAGGAAGAGGTTTGCACTGCAGACAAAGCAAAGACAGATTATTTGCTATTTGCACTGCAGTGTTGTGTATGGCTGTGTAGGTTTGTTTTTGGACTGTCAAGGGAATTTTATAAGTATTTATAGAAGCTTTTGCTCTATCTGCTTCCAGTTTGCAGATGGATTATGTTTCATTCATTTCTGTGAAGATTTCTGCAGAAAATGGGACTGAAAAAAAAGATGACTGAAAATGCATGTTTAAGATAAATAAAAAGCATGAAAAGTTAGATAAGGAGTGATGAGTCACCCAGGATAAAACAGAGGGACATCTTTGGTGGTCAGAATCCTCCATGAGCTGATGCAAAGCTGCACTGCAGCAAATTGCTCCCACTGCCACTAACACAGAAGTGTGTAGGCTTGCAGAAAGAGATTTATGTTATGGCTGCTGTTGTATTACAAACCTAATACACTCATACTGTACGCAGACAAGCAGATTCAAGTCCCAGAGGACCAGGATGAAGACTTGGCTTTAAAGTAGGCCAGAGGCCAAATTTAAGGCTACAGAGATGCTCATACACATAAACTCACGTTGAATCATTCTCACTCTCCCTCTCATCTCATCTCATCTCAGCGGATTTTACAAAAATAGCAGATTAATCCGGTGAAGTGAGCAGTTCTGGGACTTTATCAACCGTCTATCCTTATTTTCATCCACGACCACCTCTCTTTGACATTTTCCTTTTTTAAGTCGTTGAAATTTCTGTAATTTTTGTTTGACCCTTGGATGCTTATTGAGCAATTGAAGATGATACATTTATGAGATGACAGTAAGTTGAACGGGCAATTTATTACCTTGCAAAGTTCACCATGCGGACTTTTCTGAGTGAAAGATGATGGATCTAACTCGGAAGTGCTGATACCACTGGAATCGAAGTTGGTGACATTCAGACTCAATTTAACTTTAGTTGGAGGGGACTTCTGCAGTAGTAGTTTTTACATTGTCAGGAAGTCTGCGGCTATCTTTTAGGTGAGGAGGGTGGTTTGGGACATTTCAGATGGAATGAGAAACAATTTCTTAAACAGCTGTCACTATGCAGTTTCTTACTTCTAAAATATGTTTCCCTACCTTACTTTTTAGAGACTGCACACATCTTTAACCGTTTCTCTTCCCAGCATCTTTGCTATTTGCTTACGTTCTCATTGAAGCAAGTGTTAATTTTTTGTTTCATCTTTTCAAGGAGCATGTTTGAGTGACACATAAAAGAGGAAGTGGGATCCCTGAGGCCCCGGCCCTCTCTACCAGTGGAGCACCCTGCACATCTGGCCAGAGACCCCTCCAGTCATTAGGAAAGGTAGGAGTTTCATAATGAGTCAAAACATGATCAAACTAAACTTGATCCTTACTGATAAACATCTTCAGCTGCAACCTGTGATTATATGCAATGATAGACAAGATAAGAAATGGATAATGAGATAGATGAATTTCTCAATATGAAAAGCATGTTCGAAGTATGAGGGTCCCGAGATTCAATTCAATTCAGTTTATTTATATAGCGCCAATTCACAACACGTCATCTCAAGGCACTTTACAGTTCACCAGATCAAACAGTCAAATTGATTCAAAGTTTTCTATCTAAGGAAAACCAGTTAATTGCATCGGCTCATTGACTCGAATGCAATCTCTCATACTAAGCATGCTTGTAGCGACAGTGGAGAGGAAAAACTCCCTTTTAACAGGAAGAAACCTCCAGCAATACCAGGCTCAGTGTGAACGGCCATCTGCTAAGGCTGACCGGCGTTCATCTATAGCAGGATCAAAGATACACAAATGCAATGCTCTATTACAGCTCGTTATTATTTCTGTCATTAACATATGTACCAAAAACTAAAAGGAGAAACATCAAGAAAATGCTTAATTTTCAATTCTACCACCAATGTACTTTAAAGATCAGACGTACCTTGTAAGCATTTTATCAATATTAAACATTTCTTAAACCCCTGCCATCACTATAGTTTATCTGAAAGGAAAACATTGGCTGAATTGTGCTGGGTTTTACAATTTTTCCTCAAGGCTTTAAGATCCTACGTTATCAGTGATCTATAATAGAACAACTTACAATAAGTGCAGTTTGAGATTTTTTTATTGCTTTCCCTGTTGACTGATAGAAACTCATTGGTGAAATTTATTTTGTCTACATTTGTAGTTCTTACAGGTGAATCTGGATGGTTCTTCACTGTGACAAAACTAAAAGCCCTATATTGCTTGGAAGAAACGGGCCCAGATAGAATATTTTATCATTTGACATTCAAATTTGATCACAAAACCACAAAACCTTTCTCTGCAAACTCACTTACTGGATGTTTTAGGAAACAAAATTAAAATGTTCTGGTTTTGTCATAAATTAACAGCTGTTTCCTGATAGAAGAGAGTGTATTTAGAACTGTTGGATTGGAAAATTCCTGAGATATTACTGTTAACATGATGATGGACTGGCCTGGGTTGGAAGTTGCACCTGCATAAAGAGCTCTGAGTAACACCATTAATTTACCTACCCGGAGCAATGATGTCATAAGGCTTGGTGTTTTTAACTCTCTAAACAAACCATGATTATGAGACTGAAGTATTATTATGGCTGTCAGATCTGGTCCTGCCATCTTCCTACTGTCACTTAGCAAGTCTCTGCTCTGTAATTTACATCTAATTTGGGTGTAACATTTGCACTGTCACTTCCTATGAGTTGACTCAAGTCCCTCCTATATCATTGCCTTTCATTGCACCCAGTTCCAACATAACATGAAAATAACAGTAAAATCTGTTGCATAAGTTTCAGCTGTTACAAGTGTTATTAATGTCTTCTTGGATGCTTGAAATACATATTGATCTTTAGTGTGTATGCGTTAAGTTTATTCATACTACATTTATTTTTTTTTTCATACAAATAATCCTAAGCATTATTCTAAATAGTGTCATCATAGCCTGCAGTTATTCTACCAAATGTTAAACTAGTGTCTGTTTTGCTCCAGCTGTTTGGATATTTAATTCCACAGTGCTATGAAACTTCTTGTGCAAATTTAATAAAACTAGCTAGAATTGGGGATGCAAGTTATAGATTATCAAATTATTCCAAAGCTGATGGCAATTTTCTTATAGGTCCAAGTTGTTGCTTGTATAAAGAGGACCTTTAATAACATGAAAGGCTTAATATGTTTTCTACAGTATTCTAAATTGTGAGATGGGTATATTTTAACAATTTATAATGCCAGCTATATGAAGAATTCAAGGATTTTTTTATTGTCATATTAGTTTGCATTTGTATGTTTGTGGTAAGAAATTTTGACTTGGGTCCTAGTTCAATAGGCTTGATATTTAAAAAATAGGAAAAAGAAATAGATGAAATTGAACTGAGTGCGGTTCGAGTTCAGCAGACGAACAACTGTAGGGTAGAAACGGTTTCTGAGCCTGGTGGTCTTGCTTTAGATGCTGCACAGCGGTCTGTCTGAGTGGAGAGGTCTGTGCCTGACAGTCTGTGTATAGGATGGCTGGATTAAATATGGTATAGATTGCCTTTTCCCCTTGGTGAATTTCCAAGCTTTTGCATTTTTTTTAGAAGAGAAAAATCTATCTTGAGGTAAAAAAAAGAATGTAGATTTGACTCTCTATCCTTTTAAACTGCCTACTTGGTGCGAGGTTTTATAGTAATAGAGAGGAGCAACTGTCAAACATGCGAGGCCTGATGCATAAGTCAGCCGGATTAAACCATTCAAGCTGTATGTAAAATTATTTTGTCTATTTGTGTTGCTGGTGTCAGATGCATTGTGTAATTTCACAACCAGGAGGGGAACACAATTCAGATAGATGTCAGCAAGGTAAAACAGGAGCCGAGGGAAATAAAGACCTGATGTCTTAAAAGAGCAGCAGAGATAGACTGCTGTCATTCAGAGCAGCAGGAATGATTCAGTGGTTTCCGGGGCCTTTTTTTTGGCTTTGATTTATGTTTTAATGCATTCAATGTATTCAATGTGTGCTTTTTTTTGGTGGAGAAACTCAATGGTGCTCTCTGTAATCGTTAAAGGAACACCAGCTGTGATAGTAATGTGCATTGATTTCAGCCTAAAATACTTTGGAGATTGATTGGAGATTGAAGTGTGCAATTCCATTTTGCTCCTAAAGCAAGTTTTTGCATTTGTAATCAATTTCAGCAGTGACTTTTTTGTTGTGGTGGGCTCTTCTGTCTTTTAAGCATCTTCTTTAACCAAAGT